CTGTATCTAGCACACAGATGTTGCCCAGCTCTGTGAGATATGAGAATATCACTGTGTAAAAACAATGAAGCTAAATGAAGCCTGGCAAGAGTTCTGGAGGGAGAAGGTAGATAAAAGGAAAATTCCTGCTTCCAGCTATGAGTACCTGAAAAGTTGCCTCCTTGCTCATCCCATAAAGTGCAGAGGACAAAGTTCTCGGACTTTCCAAGGTTATTCCTGGTGACATTGAGCTGCTTTCCATTTGAATTCATGAATAGAAACCATCAACAAACACAGCTCTGAAAACCAGATTCTAATAAATTACATAAATTAGGGACCTCTTGGCCTGGTGCTTTCATTTATTTACAAAATATACCAGCGTCATGAAGCATATTAAAACAATTGCCCTAAGTTCTTAGGTTAAGTGTTCATTCCCCAAGCCCTGTTTATAGTAAAAGCACGATACTAACATGCTCCAACTCTGCATGCTTTCAAAGCTTTTCACTTCAGTGGTTAAAACCTGATCATATCAAAGCCATGTTGATCAAAAACCTACTTCTCCATCATGTTGCTTTGGACCTTGAACTCTGTGCCACCCTTCCTTCTTAAACCAGGACTTCCACAACAGCTGTCCCTGTTCATAGAGAACCCTAGGAATGGTAAAGCACAATTAAGAAAATTACTCAGCATGCCAGCTAGAACACTGCATCCCCCAAACACGTTTCCAATTGAAAATCATATACTATATAATAATGCAGTGGGCTGGGTAAGGCTGTGCATGCCCATAATCCCAGCACTTGGAAGGCTGAGTCAGGAGGACTGTCACAAATGTGAGGCCAACTACCTAACAAGACCTTCTCAGAAAACACACAAACCAAAAGAGTATGTTGCTATGTATACCTGTATGAATATAGTAGGCCCCTCCTCCATGTTTGTTTGTTTGTTTGTTTTTTCATGATTTCAGTTACCCATAGGCAGCCATGGTCCAAAAATATCAAATGGAAAATTTCAGATGTAAAAATCTGTTAAATTGTGTACCATTCAAAGTAATGCCATTCTGCTCTGCCCTGCCTGGGACATGAATCATTACTCTGTCCAGGATGTTCACACTGTATATGCTGTTAGTCAATTATCAGAGGGCCCATTGCAATGTCAGAGTGCTTGTGTTCAAGGAAACCTTACATTACTTACAATGGCCACAAAATGAAGGCGTGATCATGGCAATTGGATGTCAAAGAAAAGCCATAAAATGCTTCCTTCAAATGAAAAGGTGAGCCAGTCATGGGGGCACAGGCCTATAATCGCAGCACTCACGAGGGTGAGGCAGGAAGATTGCTTCAAGTTAGAGGCCAATGTAGTGAGCTTAAAGCCACAAGACCCTGGGTCAAAACAAACAAAACAAAACAACTAAATGAAAAAGTGAAAGTTCTTCATAAAAGAAAAAAATCATATGCTGAAGTTGCTAAGATCTACAATAAGAACAAATTCATGAAATTGTGGAAGATAAAGAAATGTCTTTTACAGTTATACCTAAAACTGCAAATGTGTGTCAAAAGTGCTTGGTTAACATGAAGAAGGCTGCCTATCAGGCATGAGGCCTTGGGTTAGATCCAGCACCTCGACAAAAGAGATGCAGAAGTCATTAAATTTATGGGCAGATGTCAATAGAAAACGTGTTCAATGTGATGGCAATGTGTTGTATCACAAAGCGTGGAGCCCATGGGCAGATTGCAGCAAGGAACTCCAAAATCAGAGACACCAAGCCATTTTCAACAAGTAGGGATGGTTACAGGTTTAGAAATAGGTTTGAACTGAAGGTATAAAAGTCTTTGGAGAGCAGCCAGGTGTGGTGGCTCATGCCTATAATCCCAGAATTCGGGAGGCTGAGGCAGGAGAATCATTACAAGTTCAAAATCAGCCTGGGCTACAAAGTGAGCTCGAGGCCAGCCTGCATAGAGAGACCTCATCTCAAACACACACACACACACACACACACACACACACACACACACACACACACAAAGTCATTCATGGACAGTGGGGCAAGAAAACAAGAAATCAACAAGCAAACCCCTTCTGCAAAGCAGTGCCATGTGTGGGCTGCCACCACCAAGGGACAGCTAGATCCCAGCCCCTTCCAGTGCATGGGCTGGGAAACAAGAGCCAACACGCCCCCCTACCCAAATACACTGTAAGCGACCTACTGGAGAAAGAGGCTATGATGATAGCTATTGAGGTGAAATGCAATTTGATACATGTGGTGTTTGGTGTTTCACTGACTTTGCAGGTCTAGGGCTGGTGGTCTGCCCATCTATTAATATTCAGAGGATTACAATATGCAGTGTGGCATCTATGGGGGATCTCCTTCTGAAGGTGGTAGCCATTGTGAATTCCCTATTATCTTGAAGTCCTGTATCATTTTCATTGTTTTGTTGGATTGCGTTTCATTCTGTTTTGGTTTGATTTTTTTGTTATACCTAATAGCACAGGCAGCTGTTTCAAAGATGGCAAAGATACATTATGGTAGCCATTCTGGATTCACTATTGTCTTGTTTTGAAGTCCTTTATTGCATTCCTTTTGTTTTCACTGGTTTTGTGCTATTGTTTGATTTTTACTATGTCTGAAGTTATCTGCAGCTATTTTGAAGACATCAAAAGGCATCATGATTCATAATGTTTTGAAGTCCTGTATCTTTTACACTGCTTTGATTGGTTTTATTGTTTCATCTTCTTTAAAATAAAAAACATTTTTATTCCAAAAGGAAAAAAAAAATCATTGGAGAAGCTGTGACTGTCAATGATAAAGCACAAGTGAAGCTGATTACAGAGAAAGGTATCATGCAGACAGCTTTCAACTTTGACGAAAACGTGCCAACTCTGGAATTGCATAGCACTGCTCTAGGTGATATAATAAAGCTAGTAGTAATACACAAAACCCACACACCATCAAAAACAAAACTTCTTTTTTTTTGAGGGTAGAATATATTTATTGAGAGAAAAAAACCTTCTGTCTAAAGAAAGACAGAAGGGGTCCTGAGCAGGTTGCCCAAGACTCTTGTCTTTTTCTAGGGATTTTTATAGAGTAAAAACCATGGGTTCAAGGTAGGAAAAACTGGGAACTCACAAGGCAGATGGGCATAAGGTGGGACAGAACTATATTAGCCAATAAGATTAATAGTTCAGGTAAAACTGATTACATTAGGGACAAATGAGAAAGCAAATCAGGTAGGAAGCGGGCATTTCTTAGAGTTGTGACCTTCCCCCAGAGGGATGGGATAGTGACTCCAGGGTGTTAGGGAACTAATTAGAGTATCAGTCCCCTGGATAAACATTTTACAGAAGTTTACATTAAAGCCTGTCAGAGGTGTTCTAATATTTTTCTCTCTAGTACTATTGTCTAAATACAGTCAAGCAAGGAGTACCAGTAACTTTAGCAACTAATTTAAAATTTAACTTGTCTAAGAACAAAATAATATAGCATTAAAGAAATATAACATTATAAATTTTACATTTTAACTTAGATTCACATTATTTTAATAAAACTATGAGACAAAGCAATTAAAAACAATGGCAAATAGCAATTATCATAAGTAGTTATAAACAAGTAGCAAAGACAAAGCAAAATTTGAAGCATAAAAATTAGTTCCATAGGGACTGGGGATTTAGCTCAGCGGCATAAGTGCCTGCCTTGCAAGCCCGTGGTCATGAGTTCGATCCCTGATACAAAATAGTTACATAATGAGTCCCAGTCCAGAGTCTATGAAGCAAAAGCCAACTCTCACCTCTGTCCAGTGGTCTCGGTGGAAGACCTCCAAATGACATAGGATAATGAAACCCCCAATCTACTATGTCTGAGCATTCATGTTCTCTAAAATCGAAGAATGAATTTTAGGAAAAACGGGGGTAGAGTAGAATGGAAAAAAAATATATATATATATATTTGGGGGGGGGGTACCAGGGATCAAACTCACAACCTCACACTTACCAGGCAGGCACTTATGCTGCTGAGCTAAATCCCCACCCCCCGAGTAAAATATATTTATTGAGAGAAAGAAACTGTCTGAAGAGAGACAGAAGAGATCCTGAGCAGGTTGCCAAAACTTCTACTTTTAAGAGTCTGTTATTGCCAGGTGGCACATGCTTGTAATCCCAGCACTCAGGAGGCTGAAGCAAGAGGATCACCACAAGAGAGGTCAGCCTAGGCTATGTAGTGAGTTAAGGCCTAAAAGCAAGACTCAAAAAAAAAAAAAAAAAAAAAAGACACATACTCATATAATTTTTATTATAACTTTTTATTACTTACTATGCTGAACTTATAAATTAAAACTTATCACGGAAAGATACATATAAGAAAAAACTATATAAAGGGTTCAGTACCACCCATGGTTTCAGGTCCTACTGAGGGTCTTGACCCCTGAGGATAGGATACAAATATGTATGTATCCTCTACCTGAAGCTTGAGGAGTAGGTAGGTCCTATCGTAAAGCAGAATCAGCAAGACTGAGAGCCATGCTGCTGTTCGGTCCCAGCTGTGGGAACAGGTTGCCTCTATGTGGACATAAAGATAACCCACAAGATAACCAGAAGAAATGAGTGATGTGTTTGGGGAGACAGCTTCCTTGGAGAATTTTTTTTTTTTTTTTTTTTTGTCTTTCTCATTTTTATCGGTACCAGGGATCGAACTCACAACTACCTGCTTACAAGGCAGGAGCTTATGCCGCTGAGCTAAATCCCCAGCTCCCTTCCTTGGAGAATATTGACTTCACTGGAGAACTAAGTCCCAAATGTGAGCACCCTCACACTGCAAGCACCTTTGCCCATTGAGGTGAGCCAATGATCAGCGTCTAGAGGTATAAACATCCAATAGGGACACTGCTGGAGGGATCAAAGGCTGCAGTGGTCCAGCTGCTTCAGCATTTGTTTGTCTTTCCCCACACAATCCACTCCCAGCAGGAAATTGAACCTTACGCTCTGAGGATCTTCTCTGGTACAGGAGGTATGATGAAAACATAGACCAAATGTTTCCATCTTTAAAATTTACTACAATATGAAACATATTGCCATTATCTCTCATAATATTCCCCCTCAATCTGAACACACTGCATTGTCCTTGCCATTTTCTGAAGTCTAGAAGTCCACTTTCATGTCTTCACAGGTGTGATCAACAATGTGCTAGATGGTGCTGCTGAGTACTGTCTAATATAGAGGCAGGCTTATACAAACATGGTGCCCTCATCTACCTTATTCATCACATCTGGTACTGTGTGACTTCTGTTTCTTTCCGTAGGTCAAAATGAATATGAAAAATAAACATTTTTGAATTGACTAAGGATATCAAGACAGTCACACCCACACAACTAAAGACACAAAAAACAACTTCCAGAATTGCTTCAGAAAGTGGCAAGAATGTTCAAAGCAAGAGAGAGTTAATGGCAATGTCTCTTTTAACTATAACCATTTTTTAAAAACTTTGCTTTAGCATGTATTTTATCACCCTGTATATTTGATCGCATCACATAGTGGGAAATTAACTCTTTGTAGGTACTGGATCAGGGTGTCAGGAAACGTAGCCCCACTGTCAATTAGAGTGAGTAAAGTCCGTAATGTTCAGGGAGTTTTTGTGTACGGGGATGCGTAAGGAAGGATGCTGTTCAAGGCCCTGTTCACTCATCTTTTACATTTATTGGCCAGTTGGTGCTTCCGTACTACCCCCCAGCATTCTGTACTGTTTACATAATTTAGTATATTAAATACCCATAAATATTTAACTTAACTGCGAACTTTTTTGAGTAGGTCTCAATATGCAGTGCAGACTGGCCTTGAACTTGTGGTGATCTTCCTGCCTCAGTGCTGGGATTACAGGTGTGTGCCACTACACCTTGTTTTTTGTTTTTTTGAGAGAGATTCTTACTATACAGTTCAGATTGGCCTTGAATTCCCTGTGTAGCCCACGAAACTGGCCTCAAACCCAGGATCTTCCTGTCCTCAGCCTCCTGCTGGGATTACAGGCAGGCAACACCACACTGGGCAACTCTAAACTTAACCAAAATTTATTCTGAATATTTCATGAAGAAAAACAAACCTTCTTTTCTTCAATTTTCCCACGTCATTTTGTGCTGTCCAATAATTTAAGCATGAGTTTAAAATTCAAGGCCCTTTGTTGCCATAGGTTCAGCTCATAACCAAAAATAACTTTTATCCCTAATAAATTAACTGTACAAACTAATGTCCTCTGATCAAAATTCAGATCCTTTCTGGTATTCTATTACTATATTCAATGAAGAAGTTATCCTTTTTTACACTAATCTCTGTGCAGTACTAGGGATTGAACCCAGTACCTCTGCATTGAGCTATAGATCCAGTCTTTATTTTTATTCTAAGACAGGATTTTGCTAATATTCTAAATTCCCTCAGCTGGCCCAGAACTTACAACCTCTCACCTCAAGCTCCTAAATAGCTGGGATTACAAGTATGTACCTCTAGCCCCAAGGAATTCACCTACATAAGGAAAAACTGTTTGACACTCAGTAACAAACACAAATTGTTGCTGCTGAATTAAACCATATGATACATGCCTAGTTATACATACATCAAATTCAGGAACATTACATAAATTGAAGAGAATGGAGGTATGTTAAGATTCTAAACTGCCATTATTAGCAAGTGAAATAATCAAGTACATCAAAGATGGAGTGAGTGGCAGTGTTAGAGCAAGAGATGAGGGACCTGCCACCACTAAGCACTGGGCCCCTTTCCACAGATCTCACATTGCAGGAAAGTAATTTAATTAAGAAAGCACCTGAAATTCAAGCTGTTCCACATGAAGCACTGTTAAAATTGAAAGAGGGTACATATTCCCGTTTGCTAAAATCAGAATTATTTTCATGGCTAAGGTTTCTCGGACTAGCTCCGAAAGTAAGCAACTGGTGCCAACACTGGCACACAGGACCATTTCCCTTCTCGTTAATGTGCCATCAATTCCTGTGTAGGGCAGTCTTGCTTTAACTAATGCTGCACAATCCATTTACTTCTTCTACATTAGTAGACTTCAAATGCACCTTGGGGAGATACGACACAACAGCAAATACGGACCCACGCTAGTTTGAGGCTTGCAAAGACAGGAAAAGAAGTAGCGCTGAACACGAAGTTTAAAAAATAAAGCCTAGCAGGATGCATGTGCAGGAGGGTGCAGAGAGGTGGGACCCATCCTCTGTCAATTTGCTGAGGCAGATGAGCCCCGCTGTGAGAGCTGCCCCCTCCTGGGAAAAAAGCCAGGAGGTTGCCTCCACTCTCCACAGCGACATATTAAGCCTGCAACTGTTTACGTTCAATCTCAGATACATTCTGTTCACCAGCTTCAGAGTTCCAAGAGCAGGTGCCTTCAGTTAATCATCCCAGCTCACTTCAGAGTCACTTCCAGCAGTGAAGGATAGTCCAGGCAGCCAGCAGCAATTTTTTCTTTTTTAATCTGTACTGTTCTGGTCTCCAAAGACTAAGTTTAAGTTTGGTTTTTTTGTTTAAAGTACTTTCTTCAAAACAAGAAGATAACAATCATAGGACAAATCTAGGACTTCAATTTGGACAAACCAAGAAATGAATGAAAAGAGAAGCATACTCCTGAAGGTGGTAAGGTTGGGGTAGGTGCATGGAGCAGGAAATGGAGATGAACAGTACTCAAAATGCTTTGAAAGTTACTGCCCAGGACAAGAAAACCAACTTCACATTCATTTTAAAAAAGCTATTTACTTTTTTGCAAATATCATCCTAAATAAGTGTCTTAACAGACAGGGTTAATATGAATCAGAAATAGGCTATGTAAGAAAACCATTTTTACAGACCCTGGAAATAATTCTAACAGAAGATGCTCATATTTATCTGACTATAGCTATGTTTCATAGAAAAATTTCAGCATCCAAAGTGCAAAGACAAAAATGACTGACTTTTCTTGCCACATGAAATACTGATAACCTTCCTTCACAGCTACTGTTGTTAGTGAGATGCCACACATGGACAACATACTGACCTAGAAACAGGGCTCCACTGGACAAGGAGTGGGAGATCAATCAGAATGAATTCAAGTTTGGAGAATAAAATGGCTTTGACCTCAATCAACCCAAAAATCTAGACAGAGGTCCATTAGAGATTAAACACTAGCTGTAATATCACATTTTTAAGGTTATGTCACTTTATACTATTAAGACCTAATCAAACCAAATTACATCTAAGCATACTCCCATCACTAGTTCTGTCCTTCACCTATCTCATTTTTATGAAGGCTCCACACTATAATTCAGTCCATAACGGGAAGGAAATCCCGAGTTCTGAGGAGGAGCCACACTAATCTCTCTTAAATCCTTTCTTTACCCTGCCCTCCCACTTCCCACACTGAAACAAGTCAGTCTTACTAAAGAAGCACAATTGCCTCAGGAAAATTAGTTCTTAGTGACATAAGTGAAAAGCCATTTCATAAGCAGCATTTGGCTTTAGGCCAAAGGTATGCCCTCCACCCCAAAAAAGATTTAGAATAAATTCCATGTTACCACTCTATTCATGTAAAGAGTGCCAATCTAAAAGCTCCAAATGACAACCAGCACAAGGTGCTGATGTTATGTTACTGGGGGAAAAAGAAAGGGAGATATATATAGTTTTAATAAAACCCTCATGCACAATTAAACTTGATTAAAGGCCTGGAGAATGCTAAAAGTAGTAATGAGTACAGAAGGCTGCAGAACACAGTACAGGTGTGCCTCTTCTTGTAGTTGGTAAATGCTGGGAAATAACAGGCAGATGTGACTTCACTTGAGCATTGGAGAAGCAAAAAAATTGCCTTGTCGTCCTAGGTTGGTGGCAGACTTGGTTTTGCTTCCAAACCTACAAAAAAAAGAGAATAAACTGGGAAAGTATACAAAAAAAAAAAAGAAAAAGAAAAAGAAAAACAAGTATGCTATTTAAAATAATTGACTAAAAGTAAAGACCTTCAAGAACCTTCTTTAAGAAAGATATCTATGGCTTCAACTTTTTTTGAGTCTAGTTGCTAGCCTACAGTCCAGTCTAATTTTCCTTAGGGTAAACTTCTAATATGCTAGGAAAGTAGTACATGTTATCTATGAAGAAAGCCAATTCTCTTACCTAGGAGTGTTCCTGGCGAGGGTGGAGCGAACTTTCTGTGACAGGGAGCTTGAAGAAGGAGTCTTGAGAAGCTGGTGCTCAGGAGTGGTCACAGGCCCCAATAAGCTCACTTCAAACAAAGTTCAGACATATTTTTGTAAGAGGAGGAAAAATAAATTACCCTTGAAGACGGCCAGTGTTGTGTTTTGTTTTGTTTTCTGAGACAGGATCTCACTATGCAGTTCAGGCTGGCTTTGAACTTACTATGTAGCCTAGTCTGGCCTCAAAATCATGGTGATCCTCCTAGCTCAGCCTCCTGAATGTCAGGACTATAAGCATGCACCACCACACCTGGCAATGGCCTGTTTTAAACTATTTTCTGAAGCACTTTAGAATGAAGGTTAAACACTTAGGAAGGGCATAGATCATTTTTGTTGTATCTTATGACATGCTGGTGTATCCTATGAACTATGTAGGCAACTATTCAGTGAACAGTTGACATTCACTTGCTGACTTACACCATTTTCAAACCCAAAATTCACGTACCTAACTCATGGACATTTAACTTTTTTCTTTTTTTTTTTTTTTCGTCTTTTTCGTTTTTATCAGTACCAAGGATTGAACTCATGACCGCACACTTGCAAGGAAAGCGCTTATGCCGCTGAGCTAAATCCTCAGCCCCGAACATTTAACTTTTATTTTAGAAAAAACAATACGTTTCCTTTAAAGGAACTTGCACTAATGAAAAAAAAAAAGGGTCTCCAATGCCAGTCAAGTTGGAATGAAAACACCTTATCCATAACAAACCATTGATAACAACATATGCAAAACTCTCTTAAGAGGCCAGGGATTTAGCTCAGCCTAAGTGCCTGCCTGGCAAGTGCAAGATCGTGAGTTCAATCCCTGGTACCTAAAAAAAAAAAAAAAAAAGCAATCAAGTTAGTAAAATATATCAAGAAACATAAAAATGCTTAACACGTTCCTGCTGGCTTGAATCTCTGGTAGTATGTGCATGACTGCCCCATCCAGCAGCCTGACACTGGTGGCAGAAGTGGTAGTCACATATGGGATAGTCACACAAGTACACTTGGCAGTAAGACACTTCCATTACGTCCCTGTCATGAGTATGTTGTATTTGGTTAATCCCCACTCTTACTAGTTTATTTTTAGGGTGGCTACAGCATTATTCGTAATCATGAAAACTTGAAAGGTAATGTCAATCTCTAACAAAACACTTAAGTAACTTATTATTTACAACTATAAAAATGGTAACAGAAAGAAGAGAAAGGAAAAGAAAGGGCAAGGGAAAGGGGCAAGGAGAAGGGGAAAGAGAAAGAGAAAAGAGAGCAAGAAAGAGAAAGGGAAAGGGAAATAAAAAAGGATGGGGATGTGGTTCAGTAGTAGAACACTTGCCTAGCATAAATGTGGTCCTGGGTTCAATTCCTGATACCACATAAACTTTTAAAAAGATCATACAGTAAAAGAAAAGCAATTCTCATAATATAGTAAGTTAAATAAGAACAAATTATGTCTAAATTACCATTATCTACATTACAGACATAAATTCAAAGGGTAGGGATACAGTTTAGTGGTAGGCTGATTTCCTAGAATGTAGGAGGCTCTGCACTCAATTGCTAGCACAACTAAGAATTTAAAAAAAGTTATACATCCATATAAATAAAGGAATACAGGAAAAGTGAAAAAAATAATTAGGATGGTGAGACTATAAAAATTTTCCTTTCGAGTCAGAAATTTCTAAATAAATTTAACTTTCATTAAAGAATATGAATTTTAAATAGTGCTATAGCAAAGACAGGGAAAGGAATACAGTATATAATCGAAACTAAAGAGAGACAAGGTCCCAAAGAAGCACAACTTAAGCCTGACCTTTAATATCTGGTGTCTGTGGTGTTGAAAATGCATTTGCATTTTCAATGACATGCAGGGGGTCAACGTTTTCTTGTTCCACGATCATGAATTGACTCCAGTATTCCAAGGGCAGTGAAAGCAGGCGCTCTACCACCTAAAGAATACCAAATATATTTGCAAACTTCCGAAGCTCAAGGTTTACTTTTCACCGTTCTTTCATGCTATCATCCTGCTCAGTTCTCATACACACACAGACACACAGACACACAGATGCACGCATGCATGCACCTACCTTGGGTTGACGCTTAGTGTCCTGTAGCATTGTCATCGGGTCTGGATTAGGCACAGCATGGGCAACTATGGTAGGGCCAAAGACTTTAGCCAGATTGGGAATATCCATTTTAGTGCTTGGACTCTGAGCCACCCTAAGCAAAAGAGTATTAATTAAAGACCTATTCCTCTACTTAAATGCAGACCAAATATAAGTTCTACACGAAGAACAATTCATCTCTCACATTCTCTAACATCTATCCCATCTTCTCCTTGGAAAATTCCCTAACTCCCAAAACAAGTTTCTGCTGTACTCACCTCTGCAAGTGAATCATGAGGAAGGCTAATGTGTCCCTGTTGGCCTGGGGCAATTCACCAACAGCCTGATACATGGCAGCTATGCTGTTGTCTTCATCTGTGATTTCTGTAAATGAAAAGACAGCACTAAGAGGTCTAGACTTCTTTCCCCTCACAGCAGCCTTCCAAGATATCGACCACAAAGTCTCATCTATACCGTAAGCTTCTGAAACTTCTGATTAGGTTCATGACTATATCAGACTCTAGCTTCATTAACAGAACACTGGCCAACAGCTCAATATTAGGAGTCAGAAATTTTTAAAAAATCACCCTCATAGTTACGGAAAACAGCTGGCAACCTATCTATTAGGAAGAAAAGATAGACAACTACAGTGGCAATTATCAAGAAGGTAATCGAAAAATAAGACATATTTAAGGGCCTACTGTATTGTGTACCAGACATTGTTCTAAATGTTAAGGATAAAACAAACAGAAAGTCGCTGTGTCAAGGAACATACAGTCTATTGGAGTTAGTCAAAACGCAAATACAACTCAAGTGGTGATACGTATAATAAAGAATATATGGTGTATGAGAAGCTAGAAAGTAATGTGAGCTATTATTTTAGAAAGGTGATCATGGAAGGTATTTCTGAGGACAAGATACCTGAAGAAAAACTTGAAAGAAATAAAGGGACAAACATCAAGGCTGAGACAATGGCACCTGTGAAAGAGCTGAGGTGCAGAGAAAGCTTGATATAGTCTAATAAATGGAAGAATGCCAGGATAACTGAAAGGCGAGAAGGGTGCTGGGCAAAATGGTGTTCAGGAGCCAAACCATGTCTAATCTTTTGGGCCATGTTAAATAAAGCCTGTGGACCTTAGTCTAAAAATGATGGGAAGACACTGGAGGGTACTAAGGATAGAAGAAACATCATCAAACTTAAATTTTAAAAAGACCATTCTAACTCCTTAGGAACATCATATTATAAAGGACATAAGCAGAAACAGGACAATCAGCTAGCAGATCCTTACATATTCAAGGGGGCAAAGCATGTCGTAAGGCATAGTTGTACTTCTATTACCCCCTTCAAACAATATTAAATTTAAAATATATTTTATAAAACTGCAGACAAAACTTAACAATGGATCAGTTGGCCAAAAAAACAAGATCAACAATAACAAAAGAACCATGTTCACAACCTCGTACAGTTTAGAAGAGGACACATTCACAATTATTCACCCATCAAACTACTTGAAAATCTATTATATTTCAGGTACTGTATGGGCAAGGGATAAAGGAGTAAAAAGAGTGAAAAATCCCAGCTCTGGTGGAATATACATTCAAGTATTAAGATCTGCCCTTACCTGCTGCTTCCATAAAGGTTTTGTTCAACCGAAACGTCAGAAGGGGTTCTTTGAGGTTTCGAAGGAAATCTTTCAGAAGGCTGCAGATGGCATGGATATCATCTACTTTGCTGAGAAGGGGTACAGTTTTCACTCTGAGGAATTTCTCTTTCAGCTCTTTTACTGTCCGGTCACAGCCTGATATCCTATATAAGCCTGTCTATTATCAAGATAACATTTTTATTTAGGAATCTCATAATTATTAACACAAATAACAAATTCACCCTGTCCCAGGGCTGACTCTTACCTCAGTCAGGCCTCGCTGCTCAATCTCATTTACACAGTGGACAACAATAGAAGGAATCATTGGAGAAGTCTGGGACACAAAATCAGCTAAAATTCCCTAGAAATAAAAGAGCTTTAAATTATTGCTTATACTATTTAGACCAACAAAGAAAGATCATGTGTGAAGAACCACCTCCAAGGGCTGGGTGTGTAAAGCAGTGGCAGAGTGATTGCCTTTCAAGGGCAAGTTCCTTGGTTCAATTCCTTCTACTACCTTCTCTATACCAAGGAACATCATAACTTTTTTTTTAATAGGGTCTCACTATGTATTTCAGGTCTCAAACTCACAATGATCCTTCTGTCTCACCCTCCTGAGTGCTGAGATTACAGGTGTTGTGGTATTAAAAAAGAGACTATTGATACTTGTTCCTACTTCCACATTAGAACTGATTTATAATCAAACATATCACCACTCTTGCAAGAACAAATATTAAGATCACCAACTATAAATGCCTCCCCACCCAGTAAAGGATAGCAGAAAGCAAGCCATAAAAAGATTACAGGTAGGGTCAATAATATAAGTTAACTTACTACTATAAAAAAATCTTTTTATACTTTGATTATTCTCATTTAAAAAATTTTTTAACATTTTTCATAATTGAGCATGATACACACCTACCTACAGGAGACAACTCCATGGTTCCATATTAGAATATGAAAGAATTTTTTATAAGTATATATGTATGGATAAGAACTCTTAAGATCAGAAAACCTAGCTGGGCATGGTGGCTCACGCCTATAATCCCAACACTCTACGGAGGCTGAGGTGGGAGGATTGTTGTGAGTTTGAGACCAGCCTGGGTTACAAAGTGTGAGCTCAAGGCCAGCCTGAACTGCATGGTGAGACCCTCGTCTCAAAAAAAGACAAAAAAAAAAAAAAGATCAGAAAACCTGGGCATGGTGACCTATGCCTGTAATCCCAGCATTAAGGGAGGATGAGGCAATAGGAAGATGGCAAGTTCAAGTCTTACCTGGGCAAACAATTTTAGTGAGATCTTGCCTGAAAAACAAAACAAAACAAGCCAGGTCTGGTGGCGCATGCCTGTAATCCCAGCACTCAGCAAGTTCGAGACCAGCCTGGGCTAGAGTGAGCTCAAGGCCAACCTGAACTGCATAGTGAGTCCCTGTCTCAAAAAGACAAAAACAAGGGCTGGGGATTTAGCACAGCAGCATAAGCACCTGCCTTGCAAGCGCGAGGTTGTGAGCTCGATCCTGGTACTGACAAAAGAAAAAAAAGGGTGTTTAAGTGATCCATGACAGAAGAACCGATATTAAAAAACTGCAAAGTCCAGAGGGCAAAGACAAAAACAAAACAAAACGATGAGAAAATAACATAAGTAGATGTTTTCATTTTTGTCTTATTTATACAATCCATAATTTCTTAATGAGATTTGTAGATTTTTTAGAAATAAGTGACCCTAAAAAAAAGAAATAAGTAACCTTATTGTTTTCTGGGATTTTGTTTCCTAAGATATAGTCTTACTACATGGTCCAGGCTGGCCTCAAACTCTTGATCCTCCTGCCTTAGCCTCCTGAATGCTGGGATTACAGGCATATGCCATCATACCCAGCTCCAAAAACCTAATCTTGGAATATTTGGTTATTTGGAATATTTTTAGCAAGAGAAAATAATACAGTTAGTATTATATAATAGCTGGAATTCACATTAAAATAATTCAGTGTACAGGTTTGGGAGGAAGAAAAAAGAATAAATCAACAATGGCCATGAGAGCTGGGTGTGGTGGCTCATGCCTATAATCCCAGCACTTTGGAGGTTAAAGTAGAAGGATGGCTGCAAGTCTGAAGCCAGGCTGAACTACATAGTGAAAGGATCCTGTCCCAGAAAACCATGTATGACTGAGACTTTCCAAAATAGGATAGGATAGGAGGAAATGAGAAAACTAGAAAAGAAGGGAAGGGAAGGAGAAAGGAAAGAGAATAAAGGAAGAGGAATAAAGAGACAGTGAAGAGGAGTTTGGTTTACAAAGGTTATTAAACAAACCCAAATGTAACTTGACTACAGGTTAACATTTTACAACTTCTATTCACTGTTCATGGAGGGAGATCTATTTGGCATTGGCAATTTTAGAACAAAAACTGATGATAAAAAGCATAGGGCATACACCCATAATTTCAGTACTCTGGAAGACTGAGCCAGAAGGATTGCAAATTCAAGCTCAGTCCGGGGAATTTAGCAACTTAGTGACACCCTATTTCAAAGTTTAAAAAAAAAAAAACTGAAGAAAAGGGCTGGGGTTATAGCTTAGTGTGAAGGCTCTGCATTCAATCCCCAGTATCACCAAAAATATAAAGCAAGCCTGACACTAAGCCTTTGAAAAGCTAAAGAAACCCACCAGATAGTTCCAGAAGTCATACCTCTCCAATTTTGACAGGTGTTCCTGTCAGGGTAGGAATGCAGGGAAGGGGACAGCGTTCCCGACATTCTGGATGAGAGACTACACGACAGTCTCGACACTTTAGAGATAATTTGCCAAATTTTATCCGCTTTCCGCATGGAACACAGGATTCAGGTTTAATAACCTGAGAATAAAATAGGGCAGAAGGAAAAAAATAATTTGAATTACAAAACTGTCATCAACCAACATTAATGAGCACTTAGTATATATGTAACAACTCTTGAGTCCTTGACACATTTATGTAACTTTCACAAAAATCCTATAAAGAAGGTTATGTTTTCTTCATTTTAAGAAAACTGAAACAAAAGGAATTTGCCTAATGCTATCCAACTGGAAGACAGCAGTGTACAGGAGTGAAAAGAGTTTGTTGACAAGGAATCAAAAAGCCTGGATATTAAATCTACTACTTATTCACTGGAATGAATTCCTACAACCTCTGGTTAGTATGCTTGGGTTTTTAGAAGGAAATCAAGTTTACAAAGTTAAAATATTTTGAAAACATAGTGTTATACTAAAGCATGAAATAAGCATGTATCACAAAAAAGTGCAAACAATTGTTTTTGAAAAGTTACTTTAATTTAGTATCATTCAAAGAATAGAAAGATACATACCTCCTGGAACCAACATTACTTCCAGAGAGTAGGATTGAAAATAGGAAGGGAATTCAACAAGTAACTTTAAAATACTAAAGAATTGGGGCTGGGGATTTAGCTCAGCGGCATAACTGCCTTACAAGCAGGCAGTCGTGAGTTCGATCCCTGGTACCGATGATCCCTGGTACTGATAAAAACGAAAAAGACAGGGGCTGGGGATTTAGCTCAGTGGCATAAGCGCCTGCAAGCAGGCAGTTATGAGTTCGATCCCTGGTACCGATAAAAACGAAAAAGACAAACAAACAAACAAAAAAAACCACTAAAGAATTTACATTTATTCCCAATATATAATGCTTTCACAATTTAAAAAAATATTACTTTCACAATTGAAAAAAACTACATGTATCCAAAAGAAAATGAAACAAGCATAGACTTACCGTCTTTGAGACAAAATCATGCAGACGCATTCCGCCATTATTCTGTGGTGTGCTTGTGGTGTCTGTCTCTATTCTTGACTCCACTGGTCTGTTGACCAGAGTAGAGTCACTGTTCCAAGGTTGTAAAGCACCTAAAAAATTACACTTTTAACTATTATGTTGCATCTGCATTTTAGCTCCAATTTCAATATAACTAGTGGATAAACCATAGCCTGTAACCAAAACCCGAAGTAAATTCCAATGGGCATGTAAAAATGCAGTTTCAAGAGAAATTAGTTGCCAGGAATGGTGGTGCATGCCTGTAATCTCAGCACTTGGGAGGCTGAGGCAGGAAGACTGCCTCAAATTCAAGGCTAGCCTAGGCTACACAGTGAGTTGAAGGCCAGCCTGCACCACAGAGTAAGAACCTTTCTCAAAAAAAAAAAAAAAAAAGACACAGAAGCTGGTTAATCCATTAGTGGTACAGACTAGGCTAACAACCTAAAGGTATGGAAGGACAAACAAATCTCTGGTCCTTAGAAGGCAGCAATAAGAAACTACCCATTACAACCAATTCCTGTCTCAAGAAGGTTCTAAGAAACCAATTCTCTCAAATTTTACCAGTGGATTCACACAGGCAATTTAGTCACAAGCACAAAAGACCTGTTTTCCTTCGGCTCCTGGTCCAATATGGCACAGTCTCAATAGTTGACACAGCTTCAATGGGCCCACCATCATTGGGAACAGTCACTGTCGTTTTTGCAACTATGGATTCATTCCCCTGGAACAAAATTAGTAATGAGAGACCAATGAACATCAAGTCTGACTTTTCACTGCAGAGTGTTTTGGAGTCATGAAAAATTCCTGAATCTTGGTCTATGGCTTCAGCTCCAAACATTCTCCAATAAAATCTCATTTTTTTAAATACAAATGTAGGTCATAAGAGTCAAATATAACTGACAGCTGTTTATCAGAGTAATTCTACGTGTATGAATGATAGGATCTTATTGTAGGATCTTATTGTATAGACACACTCTCATAAAACATCTCTCAACATAATACCGCAATTTTTTTTTTGTCTTTTTTGAGATGGGGTCTCGCTATGCAGTTCAGGCTGGCCTTGAGTTCACCTTGTAGCCCAGGCTGGTCTGGAACTCGCAACAATCCTCCCACCTCAGCCTCCCGAGCACTGGGATTATAGACATGAGCCACCACGCCCGGCAATACTGCAATGTTGACAGCCATTTCAATGTTCTGGGCCACTAATCTATGTATTCAAGAACACCCTTCTCTTTACCTGCCCTTTCTTACCTGGTCTGCTGTGGAGCCAATGGAACGGGTTTTCTTTACAGGCCCAGGGGGTCCATCAACAAATTGTTGGCTACTAGATCGCTAGAAAGGGAACAAAGATCAAACACTTTAGTGCCAAGTATATATGAAGCACAGAAGATAAAACAAGTTCATCAGACACCTAGATTCAAGTCCTAAGGACCAAGGCTACAATAAGAATCAATGTGCTCTTTTGTTGCCCATTGCTACTTGAAGACTAAGTTGCATAAGCACAAAAATGTTCTCAGTGCCCCAGAAAAAAAGGAACAAGCTTTGGAGAAATTTGGATGACAGCACCAGAAAAAGTAAAGCTGTAATCCTATCTTAGTACATGAGGTCTTTGAAAACACATTAAGTAGCCTAAACAAGCACGCACAGACAGATCTCTATATCCTATTACGCACACATTTCATCTGAAGCTTATATTAGAGCACAAAAGTCTTACATAAAAATTCATATTGAGAACTCAAAATAAACTTAAGTATATCTTTTTCTACTACATGAATGAATACAGCCCAGAACAGTGAAACACAGAATCTTGTCCCAAATCACTACAGAAATATTAATACCATTCCTACAGTATTAATTCGTTTATAGTATGGGTTTAACAATGGGTAGAGCAGCATGTCAGAAATGCAGTATCAGGACAAATTTTACAAAGAATGCTTTTTATTGTTACTTTGGAAATAGGAAACACACGCACATACCCTCTTTTGTCTTTTCTTCAGTTTGAAATTTTTCACCAAAGAAGAATCCCAATCCTGTTGAAAGTAAATTTTATTAATTTCTTTCTCTGGGTAACCCTCCCACAAGTTCCATGCACATAAAAATACAGTGAACTTGCAAGGTTTCTTAAGTCAGAATACCTAACTTACAATTTGAGGAGAAAGACAGAGGAGGTCTCCAGTGTTATAGCTATAGGTCTACAGTAAGTTAACATGCTTTCTTTCAAAAATTGAAGCTATTATAATAGAATCAGGAATCAATACTACAGGGGCAAGAAAAGGTTAAAGAATCACTTCTATCGTGATTATTTCTGTTCTCTGATCCTTTATTTCTGGTTATTTTTGTAATTAGTTTTAGAACTTACAGAATGTTAGGCACCATACTGATCATGTTAGATGTGATTCTTGACCTTAAGGGATTGCTACTGTCTCATCAGATGTTTTGTACAATACTGCCATTTTAAATGTTCAAGTTTAGGTTTTATGTCTCTCAACATTCCTATTCCTTGGGGCCTAAAAGAATGGGTTCACCACTGAAGAAAAATGTATCTTTTACTGTGGTTTAGTTTCAATTCACTTACCTTAACCATGTGCATTCATTTTAGTTGTCTATCAATGATTCTCCTACTCCTGATTATTAATGAAAAAACAGTATCTAGAAACAGTTGCATGCTGCAAACAGCAGCTCACTAATTTTACTTCCCCAATTCAAGGTCAAGTAATTTAGCTCCTGGTTGTCTGTTTGTGCTTCAGTTACAACAGGTATCACAGCACAGCTCTAGCTCAAAAATCAGCTGCTGATATATTCTTGTTATACTATTTATCCCAAAACTATTCTATATCATTCCTTACTTCAAAAAAGAGCTGCTGGATATGAAGGTGATCTGGCTGCAACATCCGTCACCCCACTGACTGTCAGGGCTGATTTGGGTGGTCTGGCTGGCCAGGCAGGTGCCCCTTTCCTTCCTCACGAGCATCCCGCCTGAAGCTGAAGCTGTGAAGCTGTGTGCTTGGTCAAAGAGGATGACTATCCCCAATAGAGGAGGACAGTTTCCTTGGTCAAGGGTATATATAACTGCATTCCCCTGCTAGAACCTCTAACCAGCTCTCAAAGAAGGACTGCCTAACAATATCTATAAAACAGTCATTTTATCCCCTTAGTCAAACACCTAATTTGAATAGAAAATCCTACATCATGTAAAATTGTCACTGTTTTTGCTATGTCAGAAAATCAACCACTAGTAACTTCCTCTGATTTACTGCATTGTTTTCTAGGTTTCAGGCAGCAACAGAAAAGATACACCCACCAATAAACTACTAGTCTCCTGAATATCAAAGACTAAAATATCAGATGACCTTTTCTGCAGAACCACCATAAGAGAAGGGTACTTCCTCATAAAAGCAGGGTAACAAAGAATGTAGACATGTTAACAATTATTGATCAAAGCATTACATATAATGCCTAGAAATTCTCATCACATTCTTTTGATTAAAGTTCCAGAAACTTGGTTTCCTTCTAATTACGAAGTGTCGCTAAGCTTTCCTTGAGAACCAAAGTTCAGAAATAAAACCAAGTTTACTCCCCCTGGGATATATTCATGCTAATTTGTTTTTTTATTGCTGTGGAGTGCTAATAAGTCAAGATAAATCAATTACTACATGCAGCTCATAGAGATCCTTTAAATAAAACTCAACTTCATGCCAAATCCTGAATTCTACGTTTATACTTCCAGAAACTACACAAATGCTATAACCAGTTTCTTACATACACGCCAATTTATATTTTCAATTGCTAGCTCAGTATCTGTAACATATCAACTAATGAAGCAATAATAATAGGCAGAGGTATCCAAAAGAGAGAATGGGAGAGATACTCCTAAGAGAGCAGGGTTAAGAAAACAGATAAATCTCAGAGACCAAATGTTTATTACCAGAGATTCATCAGTCTTGTCAAAGCTGATATCTGATAAAATGGAGCCAGATTCATCAATGGTTGACAGTCTAGAAGAATTAAACAACACAATATCAGACACAGGGGACTACAGAACATAAAATCTGCCAACACTCAAAAAAGTACTTTTGGTGTGGTAATACGAGCAAGTTCATGGCTGTAGCTTCTCTATGGAGACAACTACAAGCTTAACCTTTAGTTGGGGTTTGAGTTGCCTTAGTTGTGGTTTTCATGGAGAGTGCGTTTTTATGTACAAGTACAGTTGCAATATAGTTGCTTTTTCAGCAAAGGACTTATAACAGTGACAGCTACAGCCAGGGATATGGGTGGTATGCCCTGCAGAAAAGTGAAGTTCAATTTGACCCCAACTGTGGCTGCTTTCTATGATAATATTACCCAGCACTGGTATTTTTAAAGAAATTAAGCCCATATATCTTCTCAGTTATAAAGATTCCCCATAAAACAACCAGGCAATGAAACAAATAGCTCTAAAGAGTGCTGACCTTTCCCTACTTATTGTATTGGGGGTGTTAAATTTAAAGCCTGGCTGAGACTATTTTAAATAGTGATACTGAGGAACCAAAATTATTGTCTCATCCTGGTTCATAGCAGCCTTTCTAAACAAGAAAAACTACCAGAGTTCTCTGGAGAGTAAACAGTAAAAGTATCGCTGAACTGCCACTTTCACCTTCAGGTTTTTTAACAACATGCAGGATTAGTTATTGATGTACAATTTAGCACCAGCATCAGAATTTCACCTGTGATGAAAACTAACCTAAAAGGCAAGATTTTAAAATAAGAAAAAAAAGAGGGCCAGGGATGTAGCTCAGTGACATAGCACCTGCCTGGCAAGCACAAGGTCATGAGTTTGAATCCCAATACCAAAAAAAAAAAAAAAAGAAAAAAAAGAAAAAATAACTAAGTAAAAATAAGGAAGTCCCTATGCCTTTCTTCCCCACCATCCTTCCTTCCCCCAAGTCTTTTTCTGCTTTCTTCAGTACACATTCCAAAAGTTACTTCAGAGTTCAGATAACAGGAACTTCTGACAACTGGGTTGCTTATCATCATAAAACAACAGATGCAGTTACTCTACCTTTTGTTCCCCGCATTGCCACTGGATGGTTGGCCTCTGTTGAGAAAAGCCAGAGCTGATTTTTGCTCCTCACTTAGTTGAATGCTGCCAGATGTGTCACACATGAGCATCTCTCGAATCAGCTGAATCTGTCGTTCCTACAGACCAAAGCAGATAAAACATTATAACTAACCAAGGAAAGCTTCACCTCAAATTTATGGGACAGGCAGACCAGCATTATGTAAATGGGCCTTCAGGAAGGCAGCTATACCAATAGCATATTAATTCACATCAAGCTCAGATTGTGGTTCTGATTTCTGACTGGTAAAATGAACTCTAGAATGGAGAGGCTTCCGCTACAAGCCTTTAGATATAACTGCCAGTGTAAGAGAAAAGTAGCACAAAATGAGGGTCCCAAAATAGATAGCAAAAACACTTTAGTCTCATTTTTATCAGGACAATTAGTGGCTTCTTCTGTGGATTAAAGCAATCACTCACCTTTCTAAGTGGTGGAGCAAAATGCATTAAGATGGATACAAAGCAGTAACATACAGACACCAGACAATATGAGCTTACTGAAGCACCTAACATAAAACCAAAATCAATTAGTCCCTCCTAGCAAATGTTTTCCTGGCACCATAACCCACCCTAGCACAGCAAAATGATATGCTGTACTTCAGTCACACTGCTCAATGAGTTGAGTACATCTAGCCCTTTATTCTGAATTAGAGAGCAGTGATGTACAGAAGAGTTAAGTGTTGCTTTACCTATCTCAATACCAAAGGACTATTATTCATGGAAGGATTAAAATATTCTGGGGTAGCACTTATGACCAATAACTTGTGATGGATCAAGTACATTACAATTTCCCTGCCTTTCCTCATTTTAATTATTTAAATTCTCACTTGAAATCTGTCTGTTGAGTAATACTTTCAAGTCTAAAGAAGAAAATAAATTTAATTTCAAATTATAAACAGCAAAGTCATAGGCTGCAATTTCAACTCCAGTTAAAGGACAGGTTGCTTATAGATCTTTAATACAGCAGAACAAGTGGGTGTATGCGGCAAGTAGAAATATTATCAGATGGTGCTTCCCTTCTCCCAACACCACTGTGCTAATGGAGAAAAACAATACACACCAGCTTCTCACAGTCAGCCTCAGCTCGCTGTCTCCGTTTGATCTCCACATCTACTTGATTACGTGCATGCTTTAGTTTAACATCCAGAGCACTACGCTCAGTCTCTGCTTTCATCAAAAGATCCTTGAATTTCCCCAGCTCATGGTCTGTCTTCTGCCACTTCTTACGGAAATCCTCAAAGTCCTTCGCCAACTGGATGAATTCTGAGGAACATTCAGTGAAAACTGTAATAACTCAAGTATAACAGCTCAAATAAATGAGTGCTATAGTTACCGTTAGTCCAAATACATAATAAAGCTGAACTATTGGCAAATCCAGCTAAAAATAATCAGGAATGCATCCTGGATACATCTGTTACTCTAGACAAGAGCTTTGTGGGGAGCAATTCCTGATTCAAACAGGCCACTTACTTCTGATTTAGCCAGTGGCATCTGCTATGGAATAGGTAACTCATCAGTCACCTGGCTCCAGATGTAACATCAACACTGAAAGCTCCTGAACAGAAGGCAATCAAAGGGGGATATCTTTGGGGCAGCTGTCACACACCAGGACAGTTATAGCTATAAAACAAAAACAACCTCCTCTGTGGTCATGTGTTATTGCAACAGAGATGTTAAACAGCAAATTCAAATATAACTGTCATAATATGCTCCAGTAGATGTAGATTAATATTATAGATGTCTAGACCTGTAATTCCACTCAGCTATATAATTATGCAAGTATTGATTTGAAAGTAAAGAGCCAATTTGCTTTTGCTGTTTAACACTGCTCTGAGGGGTATGTAAACATTTCAGTTGCAAACACAGAAAAGAAGCTCCTATTAGCTCTTGGAAAGTTACTGAAAGCAGAATGTGGACTCTCTTCAAATGTCTGCTTCCAAGATAGCACTGCTTCCAAGGCAGCACCTCAGAGCTACATAACACTGGTGTCATCATTCTTAACACCCGCTATTGGTGAAGATGGTTCTTCTATAATGCACTGCAGAAATGCCACACAGTTTTCTAGTTAACCTCAATCTATCTTTAACCATCATTTTCCACCACATCATGGAAAAAAGTTCCAAGCTGCATATTACTGCTGGTCAAGCTAACCTAGCTCATAGCTAAAATTGGGCCACATTCACACAAAGCTAGCTAATTTCTAGGTATCAGGAGTACTTTTCCTATGTGAATTTAACCTAAGAAACAATATGAAGTTTAAAATTCAACTAAGTTTCAGAGTTATAAATTAGGACACCAATTCATTCTAAAGAAACCAAGTCATAAAACTTTAATATTAGCTGGGTGTGGTGGTGCGCTCCTTTAATTCCAGCACTCGGGAGGCTGAGGCAGGAGGATTATTGCAAGTTCAAAACCAGCCTGGGCCACAAAGGCTAGCCAGAACTGCATAGTAAAACCCTGTCTCAAAAAGACAAAAAAAAAAAAAAAAAAAACTTTAATATTTAGTAAACAAATTTTAGCAAAACAAGGTGTTATAACCCAGGAATGTTATACAATACAAATATCATGAACCAAAAAATAAAGTATTACTGTGTAAAGAGTTATAAACAATATGCTAATTTAGTTAAAAATCTGGAACATGTTACTTTTTTATTTTTAAGGGCAAATATTGGGGCCGGGGGTTTAGCTCAGCAGCACAAGCACCTCTCTGGCAAGCACGAGGTCATGAGTTCGATCCTTGGTACCAAAAAAAAGGCAAATATCTTTTTGGGGGGATGTACTGGGAATCAAACTCAGGACCTTATGCTTGCCAGGTAGGTGTTATGCTACTGAGCTATACTCTTTTGCAAATTTCAACATTTAGATTTATAAGATAAAAATATAAACAGGAGGCTTTTTTTTTTTTTTTTGGTTTTTTGTTGTTGAAGCTAAACCAAACATCAGTTCATTTTGTCTTTTTGAGATAGGGTCTCACTATGCACGTCAGGTTGGCCTTGAGATCACTTTTTAGCCCAGGCTGGTCTCGAACTTGCAATAGTCTTCCTGTCTCACCCTCCCAAGTGCTGAAGCATCTAAGCAAGTTTTTTAATTGCTGTTTAGTGTGATAATCCACCAAGAAGTACACTTACAATTTGTGCATGCTAGGGAGATATGTAATGTTTGATTTCAAAAACAATGAGAAATACTCTTCCACTGTACGGTCTAAAAATTTTCTAGCTCCACATTGTGGTCAGCAACATAGTACTAAGTGTTAGATACACAATGAAGTATTTACTAAATTGAAAAATAATCTGAGACTGGAAAGATTTCCATTCAACGCTTGTTCTTTATGATACTTCCTCTTGGTAAGTCTTATTAAGTTTGGACTTATTCCTATTAACTGCTAATTGGCATACGTTAAAGGTGTAACTGAATCAAATAAAGATAGAAGCTAAACCAAACATCAGTTCATTTTAAGAACAGAGGTAGAAAATTGTTGACTATACGGTTGAAAAGTGTGCTTCTGTTCTTTATTGTTACAATGAAATGGCCAAGTAAGAAGTTCTTAATATTAAAAAAATTTTTGAATAATGAATCCTTATTTTAATAGTGCAAAATATTAAATTATTGGGCCAGCATGGTTTAATTAGATTCCAACCAGAACATTTGCATGCCTGATTTAAGATAGGCCTTTAGACTTTTTTTTTTTGGTCTTTTTTCGTTTTTTATCGGTACCAGGGATCAAACTCACGACTGCCTGCTTGCAAGGCAGGCGCTTATGCCGCTGAGCTAAATCCCCAGCCCCAAGATAGGCCTTTAGGTACAATTCTGCTGTGAGAAAAATTTGCTAGAATTGAGTCAAAAAGCACTATGGACCTTAGACCAGAAAAATAAAATTTTGATTTTATAAATCAATAAGCTTGGTATTATTTAGCTAAAATTTGGTAATTTTTGGGTCCGTTTTTGAGTCATAATTCAGTCTGGTATAAGCTCTGTCAAGAAGCACACATTGAAAAGATTTATTAAATTCAGAGTCCCTGCTTTATAAAACTATATACATAATAAACTGTATAAAGCTCATCTATCAAAAAGAAGGAAGGTACCAGACATGGTGGTACACACTTTTAATTCCAGCCCTCTAGGAAGCTGAGGCAAAAAGCTCTCAAGTTCAAGCCAAGTCTGGACAATTTATCAAATTAGTGAGATCCTATCTCTAAATAAATAAAAATTTTTAAAAGGGCTGGGATGCAGTTCAGTATAAAGGCCCTGGGTTCAATTCCCCATCACACATACACACTAAATAAATAAATGGAGAAGAGAAATTTCATTAGAACAAATTGAGGCTAATCTATGATTTATTTGAAAGTCAAGATTTGGTTCATAGTTCAGCAAATAAATTTAAGTGATCCAGAATCTCAATTTGTTTTTTCATCATCCCTCCCCATCTCATTCCCAGTTCCAGGTCTTTGGACAGGCCCTTCTCTTTGTCTTCCTCACTATCCTCTGAACTGTAAGGGTAAGGATGCTGTGTCTTTTTTCCCTTTTTCTTTTTTGAGATAGGGTCCTGCTATGCAGTTCAGACTGGCTTTGAGCTCACTTTGTAGCCCAGGCTGTTCTCGAACTCACAACAATCCTCCTGCCTCAGCCTCCTGAGTGCTGGGATTACAGGTATGTGCCACATGTTCAGCTCTTTTCCTCTTTTATCTCCAATGCCTTGTACCATACCTAGCACACATAGGTACTCAAATATTTGTTGCAGAATAAAGAACTGCTTTTCAGAACTCCACTCTGGCTGTTGCTTAACCTAAAATGCCCTTTCATCTCTGCTATTAGGATACTACTACCCTTATATCCAAGGCTTACCTCAAACCCTCCATGGAGCCATTTAGTTGTCCCTTTCTATTAACTCTACACATGCTAGAAGCTTTGATAGATTTTCATAAAATATTTGCTCAATGAACCTGAGTTTTAAGATCTTATTCCATATCTTTCCCCCTAGACTGAAAAGTAATCTATTTATCAAGATGATGTGACCTCAAAGAAAAGCTTGATTAGTATGCCATTGTGGTTACTGAGCTGGTACCAGCTGACAGGGTCATGCAGCAGCTATTAAAAGAGAGAAAATAGAATACTGTTCTGAAAGGCCCATAAGTGGATAAGAGCTATTAAAAGCATCAATCAATTTAAAGAAAATATTGAATGGCATAAGCATGAAGCCATACTAAGTACCACAGAAATAAAGAGAAGTTCAAGACACAGTTCTTGCATTACTTTTACATCAATGAGGCTGACTCAAGAGCAACCGTTAGTAAACAGGCTAATACTAAACCTGTAAAATAGAAGCTAGCATAGAATAACTCCCTTATTGTACATAATGCCAGTATTATTAACCTACTTTTTCTTGCTATTTTACTTCCCAGACTGCTCCCTCAACACCTCCTTTTTCTCCCCAGTTCTCTATTCCAACTCAATCCTTTATTATCATGCCTCAAATATAAGTAAAAATAATGCCTAGTCCCTCTTAAAAAGAAATTATGACTTTTTTCCTATTCAACTGAAAATGTTTTACAGAACACTGAGAAAAATAATAATTAATATATATATGTACATATGCATAATCATTCAAAAAAAACACCATCATTCTTGGAAAACCAGATTATTCCCAGTTTATGGTACAAAAGTAAAACTGGCAGCTAATGCCTATTATTCAGTGGCATTAGCAGAGGAAAAATGATAATGAAAAAAATCTGGATATAATCCATTTAAGAAGAACCATAGAAAAAAATTTAGTGACCATTTGGAATGAGTATCCAGTAAGTTTTGACCATAGCTAAGTGCCTATCACTCTCTTTTTTTAGGTACCTCAAATGAAAAAGCAACTTTAAAATTGGAACATATTTCAGCTTTGCAGAAAACCCAAATCTGAAATCTGCTTTTTCTTCTTGCACAAACCAGCTCAGAATGACTTACGGAGTTCATTCCCTTCACTGAGAATCTCCACCCGGCGCACAAGCTGCTCAAACAGATTCCGCAAATTCAGCATCGTAGTATCCATCTTTCTGCCAAGAAATCAAATATACATTAGGGATCCTGCCTTCTCCCCATGACATAAGATTTAATAACAACCTAGCACAGCCATTAGTGTCCAAAACCTGGACTCTTCCATTTGCAGATACCATAATAAAAATCTCAAGCTAACTACAGATGTTCTGAGTGATCCTTATTATAGAACAAGATGAAATGTTTAAGACTCCTTCAAAAACTACAAAATCAATTTAGATCTTTAAGGATAACACATCCTCCCTGACTACCCCTGCCCCCCTGCTCTGCAAACACTCTAGTGCTAGAAGGTTATTTGGAATGAACATATCAGTTGGATTGAGGCGACCAACTATATAATATGATCTCCAAGTTAGACTTATTGATTAATATTCTTGCCACTTTAATCCTACTAGAATTTGGAGACATACACTATAACTTAAAAGGTTTATTTTAAATTTCATTTTTAGTTAATGTCCTATCACAACTGCCTTTTTAAAACTCAGGACATGGTCAGCACATTTCCTACCAATAGCACAGATGACGTCATGCAAGTGATTAAGTGGGGAAATTGCCAGCTCAGCAGCACAAGAATTATTTCTGTAATGCAGGGTTCTCTGCTGGACTGTGTGCAGGGACTATATCTAATAAATTTATACTAAGCATAGGAAAGGATTATGTTGTACCACATTCTGGCACCAGAGAGAGACAATACACCACCTTCACAGTTAGAGGGGCAAATGAAAAAATCCTTGTTACTGTGTTCTGTATAATAAATTTCAGGTTTAGTGTTTCCCTCTCAAAGACCTGCTGATATTACATTAAAAGAAAACACAGTCCCTATAGGCAGTTTCGTTCCAAATAGACTTTGGGAAATCTTTGAAGAAATAAGATCGTCGTTAGCACTCAAAAAGACACCTACTGGATAGTAGGAAAATTATCAAGGAAATGAAATAAAAACTCAGACTTCATTGAAAACTGAATGTCTTTAAAAATACCAGTCAAAGGACTCTTCCATGTTTTCTCTAACCACTCCTCAGCATTTTGGTTCAGATCATTATTTTATGTATCTAAATAAAATTTTCAGAACTCTATTATGAATATTTAGTGATTCTGCAGTGTTTTTAAGATTATATCATAAACTATGAGGGTAAGAAAGGAAAAAAGAGGGCCAAGGATTTAGCTCAGCAGCATAAGCACCTGCCTGGTAAGCATGAGGTTGTGAGTTCGATCCCGGGTACCAAAAAAAAAAAAAAAAGAAAGAAAAAGAACAACACAAAGGACAAAGGAATATATGAACATAAAAATAGTTCTATTAAATGCTATAAAAATATTCATTTGTATTCATATCACAATTGCTGTAAAAGAAAAAAAATATTTAATTCCAATAATATATACCTGAGTGAGGGGCAGCAACCAAGATCTTCAAATGCTAATGTAACTGTTCCAAGCTAATAAACTGCTAAGCAACCAGATCAACAAAATATTACAAAGATCTTTCTATAAACAAAGAGCAAAGCCAGGCATGATAGTGCACATCTGTAATCCCAGCACTTGGGAGGCTGAGGCAAGAGGATCACTTCCAAGTTCAAGCCCAGCCTTGGCTACATCATGAGTTCAGGACTACACAGCAAGACCCTGTCTCAAAAACAAAAACAAAAACAAACAAACAAACAAAAAAACCCTAAAAGAATATCATTAAAGCTGGCAGAAAGAGATATGAAACTTACAGAGATGCCCATGGAATTAACAAAAATAAACACACCCAAGTGCTCCAGGACAAAAAAACGGAACAAGACATTTAGTAGTGGATTCAAATGATGCTCTCCTTCAGCTCCCAGTAAAAATGCAAGACACTAATCAATAGTTTTAACATGGAGTGATTTCTTTCATCTCAACATTCATCTGTATATTCCAAAATTTTAAAACAGTAGAAAACCTCTGTCCAAGAATGCAGAAAATTTTCATTGTACAACTAGGATATTAAAAATTATTTTTTAATGTTTTTTAGTGTGTTATCTGTCCATTGATCCTCTTCTATGGTCTAAGCCATTCCACTCTGAACACACCAGCTCTTGTCTGATCCTCTTCTATGATTTCAATGTTTGTGTCTCTCCAAAATTCATGTTGAAACTTACTCCACAATGCAATAGTATTAAGAGGTAGTCAGGGTGTGAATAAGATTAGTGCCTTTATAAAAATGCTTGAAGGAATCTGGCCCTTTTTGACCACCTACCACGTAAGGATGCAGCAAGAAGGTGTCATTTTGGAAAAAGAAAATAATTCATACCAAAGAATGTGCTTGGAGCCTTAACCTTCGATTTCCCTAACTGCAAGAAATAAATTTCTATTATTTATACATTACCCAGGCTAAGGTATTTTATTACAGCACAGGAACAGAGTAAGACAGTACCCTATAAAACAAATCCTCACATTCTCTCAAATTCCTTTAGTTCATTATTCTTCTCTACATTCTTTGCACACTTCCTGGAGTGAGGATTATAATGAGGTAGTCTCTTGAAACCATGAACTTGGTTCTTGAAGATAAATACATAGAAATCTATAAGATGAGGGCTACTATACTACTTAGATGAGGATTCTTTAAACTTCTAATGTTCTTCTACAAAACAGCAAAGAGATAATCGCTGTGTCAGCTCTTCATGGTCTCAATAATTCAAAATTTTACGAATAGCCTGGTTTTGAATTTTTATTCTTTCCTGACCACCAAACATTTCCTAAGGTTTATTCCTTCAAACTCTGAAATAACTTATCAAAGTATTTCACTTTAGCCATTATACTGCTACTGCCAACTCACCAACTTCTCTCCTTGGATCTAGCCTCACTCCTAAATCTTTCAGCTTGCTTAGATGCCCTAGACCAGTGATGGTGAACCTTTTAGTTTTCAGTGATACAAACATCCCGCTTTGGCACACATGGTTTGCCACCACTGTCCTGGATGTTGAGCCTGATTTTAAGACCCTGTTCTGCCCCTCCCCTTTATATTCATCAACTACTCTACCTCTCCTTTACCCTACTGATTCCCAGTTTGGTCCTACTTCTTATCATTCTCCCAGTCACTCAGTTTCAAACCTTAGAAACACCTTTGGTCCCTTGGTTGTCTATAGGCATAGTCACCAAACGCTGTGGACTCTTCCTTTATGTCTATATTAGACGCCTCCCCCATCACTTGGAGGTTGTCATCACTTACTTCAATTGTCCTCCTGCCTCAAATAACTTCCCTGTTTCCAGTCTCGCCCACACTGCTTTGCTCAGGTGCCGCTCACATGAATTAACGTTCTAACTTCACCATGTTCCTGCCCTGTGTCCCAGGTAAACTATAAATTTAGGGCAGAAGCCTTATATTTGATGCTGCAATATTACACACACAACCATACAGTATTTGACATGATATTTATACACAAAATAAATATTTGATAAATGGCAATCAGAAAATATACATATACCCATGATAATTCTGTCAAAAGAATTTTCATTCTACTTCAACATCATTGTGAATATAGATTAAAACAAAAAGAAGAGTGGAGTGGGGGTGGTAGAAATCCTCAGAGAAAGCTTCAGCCCTTCTACCTACTTGGAGTACAATCTCTGATAAATCACTTAAATTCTCAGACTCACCTATAAAGGAGAAATAATAGTATCTATCATGTTTACCTTACAGAAAATTATAAATTAACAAAGAAAAATTTGTATAATGTATAAACTGAACCTTACTATTAAATTATACTATTTATCATGAAAGTATCTGGTAGCTTTGTTTGTTTTGGTTTTGGTCTGAGAGCTGCTAATTATATTTTAGAACAGTGATGCCCAAATCCAGTAATTTTTCCTAGGCTGCCCTATCTCCACACAAGAATATCACTAAATTCTGTATTTTAAAAATTTTTGTATTTTTTTTTGGTGGTTTTTTTTGCTTTGTTTTGTTTTTTACAGTCTTGCTTTGTAATGTGAACTGACCTTGAATTCATTACATAACCCCAAAATGGTCTTGAACTCACAGTGATCCTCTTACCTCAGCCTCCCCAGTGCTGGAGTTACAGGCACTGTACCCAGCTAGAATTTTTCTTAAATAATCCTAAATAGCCTGAAAGGAAAAAAGAAGCTAGTATTTACAGGGTGCACTTGAAGTGATTTGGGCACTAAATGATACTTCACATAACATTTTTTTCTTTAAGTGGATCTGATTAACTTAATGAACTCCATTTTACAAAGAACAACTAAGGCTCAGAGACTGTAATGACTAATAAATGCTGTGTGCATAATGAATACCAGGCCTAAACACAAAATCTATATTCTTTTCATCCTAACACACTGAAGATAAAATGTTATAAAAATAGAAGTTAGGTCACATATGTTGCAGATATTCTTGGTCACCTCCCACAAATCGTAACATATCATACAAAGCACAATGCACATAAAATGCAGATTATAGCTAGAATGTAGACCAAAAGGAATCAAGAAGATAGCAAAATTGACCAGGTCGAGGCTCTTCAACAAGTTGTCCTAGATGAGTCTTAGTTGCTTCTCAAGAGTTATTTTTTGCCTCCAATATAGGTTTACTTAGGGTAATCCAAAAACAGCTCTAGCAAAATATAATTCTTTTTATAGTCTAGGAGACCATATATTTTTATTAACATTCTACAGAAATGAATCTCAGGAATTATTTATAGGTGACAAAAATATCTTTCTGCACTACCACTAACTCTTGATATAGAAGCCAAATTTGTAACTTGAAAAGCTAAAATTTACTCAACCAATTCAACATCAACTGAGAATGGTCTTAATTTCCCTCCTGGGTGACGTTTTCACCCTTGTGTTTATTTTCTCCTTCTTTATTATTTAGCTCCATAGCTAGAAGATACACTAATGTGTAAGGAAGCAAAACCAAAGTCATACTGTAGCGAGCTGCTCTGCAGCTGTAAAACAGCTGTCACTTTCCACAGCAGAGGCTTCTGTCTTTCGGGAAAGCTCAAATGATTGCTTTGTGTAGCAAGGAAATCAGTTTGCGGAGCACTTTAAACAAAAAGGTACTATAAAATCTCAGCTGTTATTGATGGGGAGCCCCAGAGGTGGAGAAGTCACTATGTTACAGATTCCCAATCTGTGAGTATCCCTAAGGGAACAATCTGGCACCACCATGAAAGTGTTTCAGCTTGCCGTGATTGCTCTGAGCCCCCAATTTAATTTCAACCACTCAGTCAAGAGACAAGATAGTCTTTCAGAATAACAGACTATTACAGAACAGTTCTTACTGCAGGGTACCCTGGTGAAGTCTCAATACTCTTCTTCCTCCTCCTACGAATAACATTAAAAGACTTATACATCAGGTTTTTAGATGTATCAAGGGTATTAAATATTGTAAGACAAAGTAATGGAAGATTGCTTGAGTTTTTCAGCAAAGCACTTCAATGAAAAACATAACATAAACATTGCTAATCTGGAGATTCCCAATAAATCGACAATATAGGTTTCCCGCTGCCAAGGATAACCATTCAAATAGAGCAGTGGTGGTGAACCCACAGCATGCCACAGTGGGCATTTGTATCACTGAAAGTTCTAATCGGTGTGTCATCATTAAGATAGAGGATATACTAAGATTCTTTACTAAGCTTCAAAAGCATTTCAGAATAATTCTTGTCCCCAGATATCTGGCTTCAATTTCAACATATTATAAGCCTCTACCCAAAGAGTAAGGAGAAGGAACCTGGAGGCCAAATATTATTATAAACAAATAAATTACACAAAGAGAAAATAACCCTTTATCCAAAATGAACCAAAACTGCCAGGCGTGGTAGCACATGCCTGTAATGCCAGCCGTCTTGAGGGGCTGAGGTACAAGGATTGCTTCGAGTTCCAGGCCAGCCTGGGCTACATAGTAAGTTTAGCGAGTTTAGGACCAGCCTGAACTACACAGTAAGACCCCGTTTCAAAAAAAAAAGAAAGAAAAAGGAAGAAAGAAAGAAAAAGAAAATAAAGACTAAAAAACGAAAATGAACTAGGATTTTACATTTATTGCCCATTTTCCCCACTGTAAATTCTTCCATTCTTGTAACTCTTCCGTTCTTCAATGCCTAGAATAAGTCTTAGCAATTCACTGACGCTTTCCCTAACCATTTCATTCCAAAATAACCTCTATCATCTACAAAACTCATTTGGCAGATATAAAATCTGCCTCAATGTTAATTTTCTATGTTCAAAAACGATTTTTTAAAAGAGAGAAACTAAAACCTCATCACCCTACCCAACTACAGTTATCTCCAAACCTAACTGTTCCCCATTACACACTCATATATACAATTTTCTGGTTTGCTTTTTATTATCGGGTTTCCAATAAGCATTAGGTTGAGAATTAATGAACGACTAGTATCTACTGCTATTTGTGGGATTTTTTTCTTTTTCTTATATTTATTTATTTTGGTGCTGGGAACTGAACTCAGGACCTTGTGTTTACCAGGCAGGTGCTTGTGCTGCTGAGCAATAGCTCTGGCCCCTTCTGGTATTTCTTGCAGGGTCAATCCCCTGCTTCTTCCAAATCTTGACTCACACATCAGCCTTTTCCCTAACACTTTCCAGCTTTATTAGGCTTTAAAGCACTTATTTTCACATAATATACCTATTTGCTTCGTTTATTATCTGTCTTCTCAACAGTTTAAATTCCAAGAAGGTCAACAATTTTTGTCTGTTTTGTTCATTAAGTCCCTGTGCCTAGAACAGTGCCTGGCACTTGATAAACAACTAATAAATATTCAATGATGAGTAAACACCCTTATGGACAGTATTTTACTCCACGTTACCTTGTTCCTTACAATACATTTCCAGTTTTTACCAGAATGTAAAAACTTGTATAGCTCTTAGTAAATACTGCCAATAGATTTCATTAAAAGGCTGTATTAGGGGGCTGGGGATTTAGCTCAGCGGCATAAGCGCCTGCCTTGCAAGCAGGCAGTCCTGAGTTCGATCCCGGGTACCGATAAAAACGAAAAAGACAAAAAAAAAAAAAAAAACAAAAAAAAAAACGCTGTATTAGGGGCCAAGGTGTAGTCAGTAGCACAGTGCCTGCCTGGCAAGCACAAAGCTCTGAGTTCGATTCCCGACTGCGGGGAGGCTGTATTAATGTACCAGTACTCCCAAACCGTGGACAGGCCTTACCAGATTCACTAGTTTTTTTTTTTTTTTTTTCCAAATTCTGTCATCCCCAAATAAAGTGCACTCTCCTTTGAAAGGCCAAATAAGATGTCTTCCACTTATACTTTGTAATTAAACACCTGTTGAATGATTACGCTAAAGGAAAGACACCTCCTCTAAGCATTTGCAAAAACTCAAAAAGCGTATGTCCCAGACATATTAAAAACTAGTATCGTTTTTAAGGCTTATCTTTCCACCCATTCCACCCTTCGCAGACGAATGAGATACGATTAAGATATGTGAAAATGTAAAAATAAGCGTCGCAAAGACTAAGGCTAAGAATTAGGATGGGAAGGGCAAGATGTTACTGGAGTCCAGTCCCTAGTACACCTAAAGAGACACAGCTGGAAAGGGTGAGGGGCTCCACTTCAGGCTGCCGGGCCCCTCTTAGATAGACACACCCTAGAACCGCCAAGTTCCTCCAAAAACTCAGGAAGGAGGCGGAAGCACCCCACCTACTTTCACATTCTGTATTTAAATGAAAGCCACCTGGGGCGGTGGGGGGCGCTCCGGTTCAGTCCAAATCACTAGTCTAGGCGCTCCCGACTTCCCACGAAACGGACGCTAAGAAAAAGCCCCCGCCCCAAAGAAGCCCCAATGGAAAGGTTGCAGCTGCTGGCCTTCTCCCCGACCCCCGCGGTGCCCAAGACTTACCACGTTGGAAACACCCTTTTCTACCACAAGGCAGCGTTAAACGACCCTAGTCTCACAGCCCCCAGCGTTCCCTTTGCCGGGTCAGCCGGGGCTCACCTGGGCCGCCTTCCACTTTACTCCGTGCCTCACCCAACGACAGAGCAGCACCGAGCCGCCAGCTCCGGTTTGAAATCCTGCTTTAACCAATCACAGAGAAACTTATTCCTCCCACGTTCTTCTACGCTAGGACGCACGCGCCAGAGCAGCGGGGCGAAGAGGGAATGAAATTGAGCATGCGCATTCCGTTAATGAGACGCTGAGGAAGCCATTTTGACTAAGGTCAACAGTTCTTCCATCGCCCTTTCCTGAAGTCGTTTTGGATGCCATATTGACAAAGGGCAAGTGCTGGTTTTCTTGAGTACAATACTAACGAATCATGCCTATATTATCTCCCCCAAGCTGGAAAATAGTACTCTTAGAGACCATTAACTGAACAGTGTCAGGACACGTTGTACAACAAGAAAAGAAGAATTCCAGAAGGATGTATAACAAGAATCACAAGAATCATTTTAAACTATATGCACTATTATCCCTTATTTCATTGACACATTTATGTAGTCTTCCATTTGACACACACTGTGTGCCAACTTCATAGCAAGGATTCTGCTGGGAAACAAATAAAAATGATGTGATCTCTGCTTTTCAGTAGCTACCAATGGAGGAAACAGCTTAAGGAAACAAAGGAACAAAATAAAAGCATAATTCAATTTAATAAACATTATTTAGAACTTGGCATTGTGACAGTACAGGGGCTTTCAAACTTTTTAAAAATCTGGACCCATTGTGAGGAATGCATTTTACATTCAACTATGTATCAGGGAATTTTGCACATTCTTATTACATGTAATGTATCCTAAATATTTTTCTGTTTTTTCCTTGTTGGTGTCCTACCTCAATGACTTTACTACTCAATAATGAGTAACCACCTGCACTTTGGAAAAAGAATACTGTGCTAACCAGAGCATACAAGAAGCAGTATATGATCCTAATAAAAGGTTGGGAAGATATTGGTCAAAGGATATAAAATTTCAGTTACAGCAGTTAAATTCAGGAAATTATAACAGAGTGACCATAAGAGAGCGAGTGTTCTCACCATCAAAAAGGGGAGGATATGTTAACTAGATTGATTTACTCATCCCAGTGTGTGTGTGTGTAGCAAGATACATATACCAAAAATATATACATTTTATTGTTGACTTTTTTAAGTCATACATTTTTTTAACCAGAAAACTTGACTCTTTTAACAGAGTGCTACAGCACTGTTTTTGTTTTTGTTTTTTTAGACAGGATCTCACTACATAGCACAGGCTGACCTCAAACTCACAGCAATCCTCTTTCCTTAGCCTACTAAGTGCTGGGAATACACGTGTGTGCCACCACACCCAGTTTGAAGCACTATTGTATAGTGAACATATCACTTAGCCAGCTCCATTACTTTATGTGTGTATGCCTGCTAGGGATTGAACCCAGGACCTCCCATATACTCTACCACAAAACTACACCCTTGCCCCTACTTTATCACTTTTAACTCTTATGTACTTCACTTCCTGTATTTATAAACTAGAAATAATACCATCTATATCTCACAGGTTTATTCTTAGGTCCATCAAAGTAGTGTGTGGTATGCTATCGAAGTTCATCCTTTGTTAATTGAAATGCAGATTGTTATTAGTATTATTAGGAAAAGAATGAAGAAAGAAAATATTAACTGTAAAAATACTGTCCCATTTAAACTTCCCAACTACTTTTCAGGGTCAGGAGCATTTGTTGATTGTAGTACATTAAGCTCTTTAGACACCCATAATACAATGAAATAAGCACTCTACTGGGACAGAGATCTGTGTAAAGTGCCTTAGGAGTACAGACAAGGAAGCAATCAATCTTATCTTGAGAGTGGGAGTATTAGAAAAGCCCAGAGACTGATATCTGAACTGGAACCCAAAGTGCAAAAAGAAATTTATCGGAGAGAAGGGGGTGGCAAATTCCTGGTAATGGAAAGATCATGTGACCACTGAGGAATGAGGCAAGTGTATGTTTAATAAAAACACAAGTGCACAGTTTATGAAGGTTCTGGGTTTTGGAGAAACATTTACTTCAATTTCAGTTGCTGTTGGGGATTTATAAATATGATACTTCCTCTGCAGCACGGGTCTGAGGAGGAGATTCTAGCAGAATAAACTGTAAGCAGGCTACGAAGAGATTGGACTTTATCCTGTAATAGACTCAATGACAAGATAGAAAGAGTAGGGCTGACCTGACTGATTTAGAACATACTTTAAAATAGAGGTGGGAATTTAGTTCAGTGGTAAAGTGCTTGCCTATAATGCAAGACACCCTGGGTTCAATCCCCACAAAGGGAAAGGGTAGGGAGAGGGCAATGGTATGGAGGATAATCAGAAGAGAGACTCAGTTCAGGTCAGTGGCAGTGGAGATGAGGAGGGGACAGATGGGACAGATGGAAAAGACAGTCATGGATGAACTCCTTCATAAAGACCAGAACCTTTAAGGAGGCTCTCCCAAAGGACCATGGTTGCACTTCCTGACCCTTGTACAGTACCCACCCAGAGCTCCATCTTGCTGGTCAAACTGCCCCAAACACCTCAGCTCACCAAATTCTTCTTAGCCTTCTGTGCAATGTATATCTTTGCTGCTTTTCTTAGGCAGGAGCAGTCCAACCTCTCCTTTTCATACACATCACCTCATTTTTGTTGTTGCTGTTTTCTTTCTGATTCTTCTAGTTATTGTGTTGTTGCTGTTTGTTTTGTGGTACTGGGGATTGAACTAGGGAAGTTCACTGAGTTATCTCCTCATCCCTTAAAAAAAAAATTGGGAGCTGGGACTATAGCTCAGCAGTACAAACACCTGCCTGGGAAGTGTATGGTTGGATTCCTGGGGAAAAAAATTTTTTTAAAACAATGTCTCACTAAGTTTCCTAGGCACCTCTCAAACTTCCAATCTTCCTGCCTCAACGTCCCCAGTAGCTGGGATACCAGATGTGAGCCATGCTCTAGCTACTGTTCATGGCTCTACCTTAACCCGTTCCTCCTCTACAGTGTATATCTATTTCCTAGGGCTGTTGAAAGGAATAAATGAAAAATCCTTCCTGGCACACAGTAAGTACTCAGCAAATATTCCGCATTTTCCCCATTTGGCTATAAACTTCCAGAGAACAAGAGATGATCCTTGCATTTACTGCCATATTTGCAGCTCCAGAATTAGCCCTATACAGGTGGGATGCTAGCTGTATCCCAGGATCAGCCTTTCCTACATCTCCCTCCACCCAAAGCACACCTACCATTTACTCCTTGAGGCACCAGCTCAGTGAGAAGAAAGCAAGGGGTGGGGAGCAAACTAGTTGCCTGGGAAGGGAAACCTTCAGAGACTCCAGTACCGGGAAAAGCAAACAATCTTGTGCCAAAAAGCTTTGAGTTCTATTCCTGGCTCTGTCATTTTCTAGAGTGAGCTCTTTTGGCTTGGTTATTTAATCTCCCGCGTCTGGAGAGATGCAGTGGCCGGGCGAAGGCGAAGCGCCGGGGAGGTGACGGCTGTGAAAGGGCTTCTGCACGCTGAAACGCGCCCTTGGAGACCGCGGGTGCCCGTGACGCGAGACGGCGCCCCCGCGCGACCCCAGCTGCAGCACTGCCGCCGCGCGCGGGGCGCTAATGGGCTTCAGGCTCAGGGCTGGGAGCACTGGGCAGCGGTCACCGGCGGTCCCTAGGCTGTGGGGAGGACAGCCCGGTGTTTGTCCTCTCTCCTTTCCTGAGCAGGGCTTTTGCTTTCGTTCCTTTTCGGGACAGTGGGGGGGGGGGGAGTAGGGGGTGGGAGATCTCACTCCCTGCCTCCATTCCAGGGTCATTCTTCCCTCTGTCAAGTAACCCAGCTGACTTCCGGCCCTTCGGTGTCCAGGGTGCGCCACCCCACCCCCAAGGTCGTTATGCAGACCTGCAGACCCCGCAGAGTGTCAGGACCCAGCTGTGCTCCAGGGTGGCGGAGAACCCAGCGCCACCCACTGGAAATCCGGAGAGTACCTCAAAGCAGGGGCCTCTGGAACAAAACCCAGGGAGGAAACTGGGAAGTGAAGTAGGCCGCTGTGTCACCAGAAGTGGGGAGTCCATCCTGATGTGACTGAGGTGCTGCGACCCTGTTGAGAATTTAAGAAGTAAGCTGGAGGCGATTTTGAGAGAGCAGTGTGCAAGGTCTTAACACCAGCTCAAATAAATGAACTGTGATTTTGAGGCACTAGTGAGCCAAAGATTTCATTCCTAATTCTCAACAATAAGCATAGTGGTTAATTCCATGGACTCTGAAGTTATAGTAGTAACTGGTTCAAGATCTGTTTCCACCACTTATCACCTGGGTGATGGGCAACCTGACCTCTGTGCCTTCATTTTTCTATTAAATAATGATGATAGCAATAGGAAATGATAAAGGACTATTGGGAAGAGAAATAAAAGTGTTTGCAAAAACTCGTTAACACAGTGCCTAAGTAAGTAAGTGTTCCAAAAGTCTTATTTTGTGTCTTGCTGTCTTCCTTTGTCTGATTAGACCTTAGAGACAGCAGCATAGGTTCTCAAATGTCACCTCAGTTATCAACAGACAGACAGGACTGAGAGAAGAGCCTGGTGCCATGTCACACACCTAAAATCCCAGCTACTTGAGAGGCTGAGGCAGGAAGATCCCAAATTCAAGACACACATGAGTAAATTAATGAAATTTTGTCTCAAAATTTTAAATTGCTAAGATTATTTCCAAAAGATGAAAAGTATAAAATAAAAAGCGGCCTTTATTCTGAGAACACGGAGAGAGATGACCCGCTCGCCCCACCGCTGGAGACCAGCGATCTCTCAGGCGGACACTTGGTGTGGGGTTATGTACAGAGCCTCGGTTTGGGGTGGAACCTAAGGCGGGCATTAGGGATGCACAGGTAGCCCATTGGTCCTAGGTTTGGCGCCATATGCAAATTTCCAGGGGCGGGAAGATGGCATCACAGGTAAATTCCTAGGGGCAGGGGAGATAGGGGCTTCTTGCTTCCGGTTGAGGCTTTCCTGGCTACAGTGTCCTGTCTGGGCCAAAACCCTTTCAAAAATAATTAAAAATAAGTAAAGATAAAAAATAAAAATGGCTGGG